ACGGGCGCCCGGGCACCCGGGCCCGGCCACCGAAATCGGCGACAAACCTCACCTAACCCTTTTCTCCGCTAGGACCCCTAACAGAGGCAAGCTCTGATTGTGGAGAATATTGCATCTCCCTGGACGTCTGCGGTAGCCAGTTCTGACCGGAGTCCCGAGGCAACTCCAGCCATACCCCAGGGATACCCAAAAGGACGAAGACGAGGAAAAACATCGCTGCCGGTAACGACGGCAGGTTTACGCGGTGACGGCCCCAGCGGCGGTTTCTGACCCCACGTGGATCGTTCAGCCTCGAACGATCGGCGGCCTTTCGATCGCCAGATCGTTCCACACTGGCCGATTCTCTGCGCTGGCGGCGTTCCGCCCGGCACGCCCGCGTCGGAGAAAACCCGCGAATCTGGCACGTGGGCGCCAAACCCGCCGGTCGGGGACGGCAAAGCCCGAAGCATGAAGTCAGTGTCGCCTGACTGACGGGGTGCGTCCTTGTCGTACGGAGGAAGAAGAGGAGGCGGAGGAGGAGGAGGCGGAGGAGGAGGAGGAGGAGGAGGAGGGGGAGTAGGGGGAGCAGGAGGAGGAGGAGGAGGAGGAGGAGGAGGAGACCCGTCGCTAATCCACGCGAGGTAAACCAGGTCCACGCTTCCTCGACCTTCTCCTCCGAAAAAAGGGGTCCGAATAGATGGGGTTGGAGAAAATATCGCACCGTATCAACAATGCATCGCCAGTGTATCGGCACCGTCGGCATGGAGAAAATCGGGCTCCACATCGAGCCGCATCGCCAATTCATCGGCAATGCGGCGTGATCAGATGACCCCATCTACTCGGACCCCATCTGAGAACCCCGAATTGGTGGCGTCACGAAGACATGCAACATCGCAAGAATTCATGACCAAACCCCTAGACCCAATCCTGCTGTGGCCATTTTCGAGTCGAATCGATCCGTGCTGGCCACGGGGCCCGAAACAGGGCGGAAACATGCGCGAGGCCCGGAACAGCGGAAATCACACTTCCCTCCGCGCGCGAGCGGCAGCGCGGTTTTGCGAGCGCAGAGTGCACCTTATCTTCGGCGCGCCCAAAGGGGAAGTCAGAGGGAGCGGGCCTTCTCAAAGGCTCGGAAGGCCTCTGGCATTCGGCCAAAAATGCTGAGGCTTCTCCATAGGCAGAGACGGCTTCCCAGAAGGCCCGAGGGCTTCTGAGAAGCCCCGCCGCCTTCCGAAAAGGACTGCCCTTTCTCACTACCCCCCATGCACACCGCCGACCGGAATGCTCTGGCGCACGGCGCCCGCACGTGGGGAGCCCTGGCGGCGGCGGAACCCTCCATCACTGGCGCGCGAGGCGCGGACGGCCACTGGTCGAAGGACAACGATGGGGGGGGAACTGGCCCGGGGGGGCATCGAATTGGAATCCCTGACGCCATCGCGTCGCAAAAATATAAACACGCTCGCAAACATGAGCAAAACATGAATGGCCGGCAACAGATGTTGTGCGGCGTATGTCGACAAATACATATAATCAAACATTGTATTGTATGGGTCGTGCAATATATATATATATATATATATATGTACATATATTGTGCAACCTTTTTGTGGGGCCGCCCACGCGGTGCAACTCATGCGGCTGAATATGGTTTGCGCACCACTGTTGCGCAATCTACGTTGTGCAATCATGTTGTGCACTATATACGTTGTGCAATATACGGAATGCGCAACGCAAGTGGTGCAATTTATGCTGCGCAATATGAGTGGACCAATGTACCTTGTGCAACCAATGTGGCGCAACGTGTGTTGAACAACGTATGGTGTGCAATCTATGTTGTGCGATCTACGTAAGGCAATATATGTGGTGCAATCTGCGAAATGCACCTGATTCGGTGCAGTACGCCTGATGCAACTATTGTGGTGCAGCGTGTGTTGTGCAAGCTTCGTTGGGTAATATATGCGGTGTAGCCCATGTGGTACAACATGCGCGGTTTGCAATTTTATGTGGCGCAACCGACATGGTGAAATCTGCGTGGTGCAGTCTATTGTTTGGAATCACCTGTGGGAGTCGCAGTTGTCAAATCCACTGCTCGCGCAATCATCCCACCCACCCACCCGCAACGTGTTTTGCAAAACACTTTCGGCGGCGATTGTGATGAGTGCTTGGTGTTGGTTGGCGCATCTCTGCGGTCGCGCTGGCCCACGCATGCTCGCGCGTGAAAAGCTGGTTACCTTGGCTTGACCAACGCGGCCGCGGTGGCGCTGACCCTTGGCCACTTCGGCCACTCGGGCGGGCGCGGTATCGTGGTAACGTCGACAACGGTAAACATTATGATGATAGTACCGACGCTGGTAACGATGACGACAAAGGCGACGGCACGGCCAGTGACGGCGCGGATGCTGATCACGCCGACGACGATGACGGTGTCCTCGCGTCGGTGAGGAAGGCTTTGGAAAGAGTTCGGCATGCGCGCGCGGCCGCCGCGCGAATGGCCCGCATGGAACAATTCGACACGAGTCGTGCCCCCCTAGCACGCGCGCAAGGGCGTTCGGATGATGTCGACATGCGGCGCGAAAGGCCCGCTTGGCCGAATTAATAAAATTGTTAAAACGTATGGCCTTCATGACAACCCACCAGAACGCGAGGGCAGTTTTTTGTTTGGAAATTGATGCTGAAAAACAACGTGTTGATTTATGTTTCGGGGCACTCGCTCTCGACATCTCTCTAAGGTTTTTGAAGGATTCCGGCATGCGCGCGCGACGACGCGCGCGCGCACTTCGTCCAATGTGTTGCAAGGGGTTCTTGCGACAGCACGCGCGCAAGGGCGCCCGAACGATGTTAACACGCGCGCAAAAGTAGATAATGTGGGATCATGTTATAGGAAAGGTTGAAAACCAATGGTTGCCTTAAGACTGCGCAAAAGCACGAGCGCGAATTTGTGTTGAACCTCCTTATTGCGAAACCATGCGTTTGCCCCACATCCAAACTGGGAGTCTTGTTTTCTTTAGACACCCCGCGCAAGAACCAGAAAACACCCACCCACCATATCTCCAATCGCACATTCGTTCACTATCACTCACACGCATCATCACTCACCCACTTACTCACCCATGCAGTCACCAATTCACATTTTCACACACACACACACACTCAGTCGACCACTCACTCATGCACCCACTCTATCACACACACACGCACACACTTTTCATCATCACTCCCGCATTCGCTCACCCACTCACCCACTCATTCACCCACCTACCCGCCCACTCACTCACTCACACTCTTATCATCATCACCACCATCGTCATCATC